CTAAGGACACAAAGTAGTTGTTTACCATTTCCACAGATTTTAAAGTAAGAGATTAGCTTCAATGCCGTAAGAGTTAGTCATTTAATTTTAATTGTAATTAAGCAAAGGAACAAACTTTCATGAGGCTGTTGAATATTATTTCCATTCAGTTTATACAAATAGGAATGATAATCATTGGTCTTAAGACAATTTATTATACACTTGCTTAATATAGTTGAACCAGATGGCCTTAGAAGTCCCTTCCAGCTCAGTCTATAAAAAGGGCAAATTAAATTGAGAAAGATTTATTGCCAACCTTTCCCCCACCTTTGCAAAAGATATAAAACACTTACCAGCTGTTTTCAACCCTAAAAGTGTTTGCTGTCCAGGGCTAACAACCAGACTTGTTGGTGCCACAGTGTATTTGAAATATCTCCAAAAATCAAATAAGGCGTTTAGGCTGAAGAGGGATGCAAGGGCAAGCTCTGGAAAAGAACAATATTTTTATTTTTTTAAAAGGGGGTTAGACCATCTAAAGGGGGGAACAAAAACTCTTCATATTTCAACAAGTTAACAACAAAATTGAAAACTATCTTCTTATTCCTCATAATAGTTACCATTTAATGAATGTCTACTATATACAATGTTTATTACATAAATGTTTATTATAGGACATTTACTAGTGAATTTCAAAGTATTATCGGGGCACCTGGCTGGCCCAGTTGGTAGGTAGAGAATGTGACTCAATCTCAGGGTTGTGAGTTCGAGTCCCACATTGGGTATAGAGATTACTTAAAAACAAAAAATCTTAAAAAAAAAATATCATCACTAATCCTTACAACCTTGTACAATAAACATTTTCACCTTCACTTGACTAGAGAAGTCAAGTGACTTTTGCAAGAACACACAGCTAGTTATTGAACCCATGATTACACCTCAGGTATGCAGATTCCAAAACTCCTTGCCACACCACCTCCCTATCACAGACTCCAGGTTAATGTGTATATTAGACTATGGAATTCACTCCAATGGCCATAAAGATACTGAAGAGCAGAGTGAAGCAGACAGAGGAAGTAACAAGGAAACTGAGGAAGGCATCAATGGAATAGAAATCTGGTTGTTCTTGAAAGGAGCAATGGTAGGGAAGTAGGGAAGGCATTTCAGAGAGAATAACAAATACAAATCACCACCACCAAACATTGTTTTTCATCACAGAACTCCAATGATTACCTGGAATTGTACTGTTTGTTTCCTCTACTAGAAAGTTCCTTCCACGAGAGCAGGGACCTTGTTCCCTTCCTGCTGTATTCCCAGTTTTTGGAACACAGTACACACTCGAATATTTATGGAATGCAGGAATGAATACTAAATTGAATTAAATATGAATGCAGTTTTTCATTGGTAGTAAATCTAAATCAGAGTAAAAATTAATTACTTACCAATATACCAGAGGGGCCAGTATGTCACATTATAATATGAACTAATCAATTTTCCAGTCCTGAAAAAATTAGACAGGCTTTTCAAAATCTTAAAAAAACACGAAAAACAAACAACAACAACAACAAACACCCCAAATCCAAACACCAAAACCTGTGGAACCAACCATTGGCTTCTTTAAGTTTCACTTTTTTTTGGCTAATTAACTTACATTTCAGTATATATCATTCCAGCCATAGATACATTTAGGAGTCCCCAGGCTAAAACTACTTTCTTAGCTTCTGTTTCTTTTCTCATCTTGATGGTTCTGTCAATGAGGGAAGCACTAGGATTTGTCTCCCCTTGCATCTATTAAAAAATAAAAAGCACGGGAATTAATGAAAACAAAAACAAAAAAACACTTCTCCATTTAAGAAACTTGTGTCCTTTATAACAGTAACTAAAAACTGCATATTTCCCCTTATCTTTAAAATGTCTTTCCAAAACTCTTTACATTTTACTATTATTATATGAAAAGGGAACGCTAAATTATAAGTTTATTGGCACCATACTGTAATCAACAGAGTACTGGCTCAGCACTTCAGAGAACAATACTTCCAATGAATAAAAATGTCTTATTTTGTATTTAAAGGATGGTGATTATATCTACAATTATTCTGTATTGTGCTTTTGGAATATGTCACAAGGATTAGCCCAAGGGCTAATTTAAGAAACTCAAAATACCAAGCTTTGGGAGAAAATATTCCGTATTAGTTATAAGCCATTAAAGACTCTCCTCTTACATCTTCACGCAGAAGCCATTAACTGCCTACCATCGTAAACAACTCTGCACTCGGGACTGTCGCACGCCAGAGACCCCTCTTTTGTGTTGCTGATTAAGTGTAAGATTTTAAGTTTTGTAAGGGTGAACACTCATGGTGTGAAGGGGACGAGACCGACTGGGGAGTGTGCAGTTTGGGTCCTCATGGGATTTATATTTCCTTTGTTTCGCTAGGCCTCATCTCAGACAAACTAAGACTCTCCCGTATCTAGAGTCGTATTCAGACAGTACAGACCAGCACCCTTCGCGCCTCCCAGTCCGCGAGTCAAAACTTCCCAGTCCCGAGAGCTTCCCTCCCTGGGTCTCCCAGCACAAACTTTGGCAACCCCTATTGCTTCTTTCGTCCTTCCACTAAAGGTGTTGGGACGCCTGGCCACACCCCCCTTTGGCTGAACCCTCGGCAGATCCACAGTCTCGGAAATCCCACGGCACGCGTGGACTCCACGTCTAGGAAGCACAAAGATGACCCCCAGCACGCACCGTGTTCTTCGGCCGGAAGCCGCTGGCTCGCGCCACTCTCTACTGCACATGCGCGAAGCCAAGAGCGAAGGAGAAGGCAACCGGCTTGCGGGACTACAGTTACCGGAAGAACGAACCTTCTCGCGAGAAGAGGGGGGCGGGGGAGGGATGAGAGCTCTGAGCGTTACCCGGGAAACAGCTTTAGTGTTTGTGGCTCCCACTCTTCTGCGGGGAGAGAGCTGAGCAGCAAAAATTCAGACCAAGTTCTGAACTCGCAGTAAAAAGTAATAATTGTAACAAGCTGAATTTCTATATATTAATATAATTTTAGCTTCCTTAGGGTTTTTATGGACTCACATTTTTAAGCAGATTTTATTAAGCAGGGTAGCTAATTGTAGGGTAGGGTATGTGGTAACGTGTCCAGACACCCATCAGCGACAACAAAGCATTTCTCACAAAAATAAGTGTTCTGACCCGATGTAAATTCTTAAATACCCTTGGAATAAGGGTGCAGCAGTAGGAAGAAAGCCCCAAATGTGTTAAAGTTGCTAGTGGTTTTGAGGTTTAAAAAAATCCAGTCGTTAGTTTTCTTGCATATTCTTCGGAAGAACTACTAACCCTGAGAAAAGGGCTCATCAGGGAGTTCAGTCTGGTTTTTTTAACAAATACAAACGCCTCCACTGTGCCACTGAGCCACGCGCGGGGCTGTAAAAGTGGAGTTCCCTGGTTAGTGTCTGGAGGAGTTCAGCCGACCTGTGCACTAGAGGGGCAGGAGGGGGGGCACGGTGAGCCTGGAGGGGGTGAGGCTGGCAGGCTCCTGGCGAGCTTCCTGGACGAGACGATGCAGGCCTAAGGCACAGGGCCAACAGCCACGAGGAGCAGGGCGTGGGGACCCGCCCATTGGGGTGTGGAGAAATGGTACCCTAATGAAGACACCACGCCTTTTCACAATAAGCTAGTGGATTGTTATATCATGTACGTGTCAATGACCACAATTTTTCCTAAGATGCTCCTAAGGTCAAATAGAAGAAAATTAAGTTTCCTCGTGGTATTGCATACTAATGGAATCGGCAGGTATGCTATGCTCTTAAAGATCTAACAGATTTTTAAAAACCGTGATTTTAATAATTTTTAAGAATGCCTTAGCAGCAATGGTGTTTTGCTCTAGTTTTAGATTCAGAGATGAACTAACTCGAAAATTGTTCAAAGTGAAGGGCTTCAGTGTACAGTCAAAATTAGAATACCAGATTCCTCCCCACCTCATAGCTCTTTCCTAAGAAATTGACACATCTTTTTTTTTCTCTTTAAGTAGGCTCCGCGCTTAGCATGGAGCCCAAGCTGGGCCTGAACTCACAACCTGAGATCAAGACCTGAGCTGGGATAAAGAATCGGAGGCTTAACAGACTGGGCCACCTAGGCACCCCTACAACAGACACATCTTTATTTCCTCTCTTAATGTCCTTAAGTTACTGTGCACTTATTGAAGGCTTAAGAAGGAACACTGTTATATATAGTGTTTTGCTAACTGGCATTATGTATTAGTTTGCAAGGGTTACCATAAAAAATACCACAGACTGGGTGGCTTAAACAGCAAAAATTTATTTTTTCACAGTTTTGCAGGTTGAAAGTCCAAGACCAAGGCATCAGCAAAATTGGTTTCTCCTGAGGCCTCTTCCTTGGCTTGAAGATGGCGGCCTTCTGTGTCCTCACATGGCCTTTTTTTCCTGTGTCCACACACCCCTGGGGTGTCTCTTTCTCTTATTATAAGGACATCAGTCATATTGGATTAGGGCCCTATCTTTATGACCTCTTTAACCTTAATTATCTCTTTAAAGGCCTTATCTCTGGTTATCGTCACATTGGGGGTTATTCATTCAACATATGAATTTGGGGGAACGCAGTTCAGTCTATAACATGTTAGATGTGTGCATGTCAATTTACAGTGATATGATACATACGAAGAGACTGAAAAAAAAAAGAATGGATACCTCAGAGTCTTAGATTTTACAGACATTAAAATTTAAAGAAAATACAGTATGTACAAGTTTCAGGAAAATAAAAAAAGATTAAGGTAGAGTGCACCCTTTTGATGTATGGGGGAAATACCATAAACTTTCATAGAAATAATTTAGGTAAATCTTCCAAAAACTTAGAAATCCAAGAAGTGTTTGTCAGTTCCTGTCACAGTTACTGAAGTGTATGTCACAATAGGTTGCCAAGGAAATTGTCATATACATGGAGTGAAGTACTTCTCGGTCATCTTCATTCTTTTGAGCATGCTTTATTTTCAAAGCAAGAAGCCATCATGGGAGACCTTTTGTCCTTATTTTGGGAGGTAGATCCTCCCCCCATACCTTTAAGTTTTACCATCCCAAGTCAGGAATATGAATGCCGGAAGGATGACTCTTGCGGGGCAATAGGGAACTTCCTGCTTTGGTATTTTGTCATTATATTGGTCCTGATGTTCTTCTCTCGGGCTTCTGTCTGGGTAGGATATCCTATTTCATTTAAAATAATATGTTTACTCTATCATAGGGGATTTTCCATAAAATAAATTCACTTTACTTCGATCAAACTACTTTTTTAAAAGTTTGTTTTCTAGTTTTAAAAATAATGCAATCTCGTTCTAGAGCATCCAAGAATACAGAAAAGGATGAAGAAGAAAATTTAAACTACTGTAATCCTATTTCCTAGAGATAGCCGTTGTTAATATTTTGGAGTAATATTCTAGTTTTTTTGTCTTTTTCTCTATCTCCGTATATTTCTCTCAATCTCTCTTTGATCTTACATGGTTGGTATTGCATTGTATATATTTTCATATCCTGCTTTTTAAAAACTTAATATTATATTGTAACACTTCCTCAAATCATATTCACACAGCAGCACTCTTAATGACTGCATAATTTTGCCTTGTGGTTGCACCATGACAAATCTGCAATTCTGAGACATTTAGGTTGTTTGCAGTTTGTCCATAGCCTGTGTAATGCTGGGATAAACTTCCCTACTGGTAAATGACCTCCAAATTCCTTTTGTAGCCACGTAATTCTAATCAAAGATACAAAAGTTGTCATATTTACAGAATACATGTTGTAGGATTTGGGAGCTTTTAGAATGAAGCAATGTACTCTCCTGAAAGATAAGATGCAGAACTGAACTAAACTAAACAGAACAAAAGTCACCACTTTAGACCACCTACTAGCAGAAGAAAATGCCATCCTCTTAGGAATGAGATAGCCCAGTTTTTCAGGACTGCGAATCTCCAACATATTGTGAGTAACTGAGCTCTTATAAATTGCTGACATGGAGTCCTTGCTGGCCATTAATACCAGGCTGATGATTAATCAAACCACCATCATTTGGCATTACAGACAGAGCGCTGGCCTGGCAATGGTCAGCTAGACTTGAGTGCTGCATCCACTCTAGATGGAAAGGAGGAGTTTTGTTATGTCTATGCCAGCTAGGTTCCATTATAATAATCAAAGACTCTTCCCCTCACCATGTCTTCCCCCTAAGAAGAAGTTCCATCTAAAGTCTAAATGCTTCTTAAAGTAGATACTTAGCCAAAAGGAGATTTAGAATAGTGATCTCTAATAAGTGTCCTAGACTCCCTAGCTAAGTATATTGAATTTGTCTGGATTGGCCAGAAAAGCTACTTTAAAAAATTAACGAAAAAATTGAAATTGATTCCTGGCAATTTCATCATGAACACCACTTAAGAGGTCTAAGTTATTCTTCTGCTCCTTTGCTTGCATCAGCTCTTTGGAATCATAGAGCCTGAGCTTCAAGGACCTAAGACAGCATGCAGTCCAGCCTCCTTTTTGTAGGCAAGTAAGATACCAGTATCCCTCCTTTTTTTTTTTTTTTTTTTTTAAATAAGACCCAAAGAAATTAAGTGACTTGTCCAATGTCACACAAGTGGTTAGTGATGGAGGAGAAATAGGCCCAGGTTTCCTGCCATGTAATTCATTTGCTTCAAAGCATAGCTGAAATGTTGAATTAAATCTATTCGGTGCTGATTAAAACCTTAATTATCTTAGAGGTTTTGTCTTTCACTTTGTACCCCTATGGCAGTTACAATCGGCTGAACTGCTTCTTGTGAAGGGTCCCAGATTTGAAATCTGAGAACCATATGAGAGCTAGTCAAGGAGGATGGAATTTTTCTTTCACTTTGAACTTCATTTTCTCTGCTAAACTATGAGCCTTTATTTACAAACCTTGAAGTAATGGTAAAAGCGTGATGGAAATGTGGTGGTAATTATCCTCAAATGTGAAGCACACTGATTTCCTCTGGATTTGCCACTCTTTAAGATGCATTGACCCTTTTGCTTTCAGACACTCTAAATACTATATTTAGCTTATATGTTTGTTTAGTGTTTATTCAGACTTCTAGTGCTGGTATTTTTCCAAACAATACTGGTCCAAGCTTCTCATTTTGCATATGTGGAAACTGAGCTTTAGGAGGTGTCAAGTGAATTGTTAAAACTGCAGACCTGTGCCATGGCTCAAGGCAGAGCCATACCTAGATCTCTCCACTGTTCTCGCCTACTCCTCAGGGCAGGCCCTGCTGATGTTTTCACTCACTGAGTCACACACAGATAGTTAATAAAATGCTTTTGGTAACCACAGTTCGTGCGATTGCACTTAGCTTGATGCAAAATCTTTTGATTTGGGGATTATATTTTGATTTGACATCAAGTCAAATATGGAAGCTTTCCGTAAAAATGATGTAAACCTAATAAATGTTTTTAAACATTTCTCCCTGCCCATTACAAAAGTATGCATTATAGAAAACGTGGAAATTATAGGAAAGTACAAAAAATGAGAAAAAAACGCTCCAGATTACATGGAAATAACCAACTACTATGAACTTTTAGGTGGATAAACTTCTAATCATTTAATAATTAACTCTATAAGTATTAAATTTAAAATAAGCCTCCCCCTCCAATCATTGTTAAAAGAGAGAGATCTCAAAAGAGGATTCTACTCTTAAGGTTTTCAGAGAACGTTTGCAGTAACCCAAAAAGCAGAGAGGCACCTCATTAAAGATACTTACCTGCTGTTGTAGAGATCAGATATTAAGAAAAGAATGGGCCAAGGATCCTCGATTGTAGTTACGAATACCCACGTATGGCATTTTCAACCCAAAGGGAGTTTGACTTTCTATAAAAATTCATTTTTTCCCCAATTGTAGACAACCTGAAAAGTTAAAAGGAAAAATATCACTGTTTCACTCACAGTCAACCATTGCTAACACTTGTCTACATTGTTTAAAGTCTTTTCATATTTTTAGCTAGCTAATGATTATACTGCATATACAAATTTGCATCTTGATTTTTAACTTAATAGTATAACGTGTATTTCCTCATGTTGAGACATGCTTTTCTTATAATAATTTGTACAACTATATATTATGATTGTACCATAATTTAACCATTGCCTACTTTGATTTTTGAATTTTATATTATCCTAATTACACTGAGATTATTTTTGTGCACAAAGTTTTCTCTCTTTGAGGGGTTATTTCCTGGTGATAGATTCCTAGTAAGAATTATTATGTGTCAAAAGTGTTATGAGTATTTCTAAAGTTTTGATGTATTTTGAAAGAGTTGCTTTATATTTATATTTTAGCAAAATCATGTTCAGCATCAAAAAATGGGACACTGATCTGAACAATGGGACAAATTTATTTATGGAGTATTGGGCTAGGATATTTGAAATTGAAACAGTTCAAAGAAATCCATTTCTTTTTTGTTGCCACACTCACAGATAATATATTATGGTTGCATTTTGGAGGAAAGTTTCTGAAAGACTTAGGAGATATTAAGTTTATGAAGTCTGGTAAAGATTTCAAGGGTTACAAAAAAGGTGACCTGATAAAATGTCCTTTACAAAGTAATTAAAAATGAATCCCAGTACTATAAAATCTGTTTTTAAATGATGTTTAAATGATATTTCTTTACATTGTGAGTACGGGAAAACTTTATAACCCGTAGATCCTCATCAGTATTTTTTTCTCTCAAGTCTTTGTTCCATTTGGTTTGGTTCAAAACGTTTTGGCAGACTCTGCTATCAAAGCCTGGTCTTCCAGTGGGCAGCAGACGAGAGGATCACTATAATAGGAACTCAATAAGAATTTATTGAATTGTACTGAATGTTTAAAATTAGACATTGTCCAAGAATCTAGGGCAACAGTGTTTTATGTAAGTGAAAAACAACCAACTGAGATTGCTATTACTGATCTGTGTATTTCTGAAACAGATGTCGGAGAAGAAAAAGGATGAAGACAGTGGGACCAGCACCTCAGTCAGTAAAGGTGAGAGCTGGTGCATATTTGGTATTGGAGTATGATGAGAGAAATATGTGCTGAATGTGGAAATCAGACAACCGAGTGTGGTTAAAGGGCCTCCCCAGAGCTGTGGCAGACCCTTGGATGGGCTCCTTGCTTTAGCGCAAGACAGCTTAGCTACCTTTAATAGAGCTCAAGCTCTCTTTTCATTCCTCAAGTATTCTCCCTTCATACAGCTTGCCTTTCATATAACTTTATTGTTAGTGTTGCTACAGGACTGTGAGCTTTATATGACACTTTTAATAACCTATAAGGAGTGGTGTGCTGGTAAATGTTTAACAACTGGCTCTCCAAAAATGGGTATGTGTATATACGTGTTTTTTTTTTTTTTAAATGTTGCTGATATGAAGGATGTATATCACACAATTTACAAGTAACAAAATGTATGATACACTTTATGGTAAATTCCATCTTGACTGCCAATTTTGGCAAAACACTTTTCCATGACTTCTGCCAGACCCTTGCATCTTTAGCCAACCGATGGTTGCAATGGATGAACAAGTGTAGTCTGATATGAATGTTATTTTCCTGTAAGTTAAGGAGTAAGATGAAGGAAGCAGGAAGATGTATGTTACAACTTACCTTGGTTGTCAATGATATGACTTCTCTGCTGAATTGGATAATCGTTTTAGAATACTCTGGAAGGATATTTCCTCGTTTTTGGGTGTGATTCACAATGTAGTGGCTACAGGATGACACTTTTAAGTGTAATCTATGTTAGTAACATGTTTTTTATCACATTAAGCCTAGATGATCCACAAAACCATGAACAAGACCTGATTAAAAAAAAAAAAAAAGACCTGATTTTTGGTGCTCATTGATTTTTATCCCACCCACACTGATTTCAAATTACCAACATGATGTTGTTACTGGAGTGGAGTTGGGAATAGACGCACAGTAACACGCCATTACATAGTATTTCCAATATCCAGATACGACAGAAATAAACAGCTTCGAGAGCTATTTCTTAATAAAATGTCATAAAATAATTAGGAAGCGATTAGTTTCAAATATTTATTACATTTATGTGTAATATGTGGATTTAATGGTAAGTTTGTATAATTTAATTTTGACTTATGGGCTGTGTTTTAACAACCATCTCAGAATTCCTTAAAGTGTAACCCTCTGTTCTTGTGAGCTAGCTGGTAGAAGACAACAATAGCACAGCACTGTGTAAAGAAAAGATCCTTTTTAGTTTCCTGCTACCCAAATCATATTCACATACATACTTGAATCTTTAAGACTTCAAGGCAAGGGAAAAAAGGGTCCTTCTCTGGAAAATCTTGGCGACCTTTCCCCCCGATCTTATATCAGGGGTCCACAAAGCTTCAAAAGCAGTGTGTCAAGCATCCATTTGACCCTTCTGGTCTCTAGGAGACTTGGTATCGTACTGGAAAATGCAGGCAGCTGCCAACACTTGTAAATGAGTGAAGACAAGTGGTGGCTTGCCAAATGGCAACCGAGAGTGAATCTGCACATGCCATAGGCTTCCTTAGGTAATATGAAGTTACAGTAACCAATGACATGCCTAACATCTTGATTTGTTTCATTGGTTGTTAGCAAGCAAAGACACTTCCTATAAGCGGCAAAGCAAAGATGGTGACTGGGACTCTTTACAAATGATGAAAAAACCAAAGCAGAGCCAACTTACCCCTGTAACTGACTCAGAAATGGCTTTGGTCAATGCCTATCTTGAACAAAGACGAGCCCGGCGCCATTCTCAGTTCAGCCAGGTGAATCAGATCCAACACGATAGTGATACTACTGAGTGTGACAGTGAAGAATCTAACTCGGGAGCCTCCTCGTGGAAGGAGAGTGAAAGTGAACACCATCCATCACCAGCTAGTATTAAGAAGAGAAAACTAGCTCAGAGGCAAAGGAATGTGGGAAGTTACCAAATCAGGGAAAGGCCCTGCCTCCACTGCAAAGCCATGAGAACGAATGAATGGTTGACCCGCCATTTCCTTCAAAGTACTTCAGTAACCCACATGAAGGCAGATATTCAAGAGGAAAATTGTGTACCTGACATTAATACAAAATTCAGTAAATTTTGAATTTTATCAAGTCCTTACCTTACTTGGAGCCAGATGAAAGAGATGAATAAAACACAAAAAATCACCAGAACTCTAGGTGCGGAGGCTTTTACAATAAAGTCTCTCTAACAACAAAAACATACTTGAAACCCAAGAGGTAAAATTTCAGATAATTCTTTGTCCAAAAACAGGCCAGTGAATTTGTTTATGGCACCATTGGAACATCAAAGATCTGCTTCTACTATGATTTTTTAATTCAAAAGAGCACAAGACATATTTTATTCCTTGAGTGTATGTATTTTGTTTATGTCTGTAATACAAATAAGGAAGCTCTTTGAAAATATATTTATGTTCAGAAACCATTTAAATTTATTTGTATGTTTTGATTGACTGACTGAGTGAATTAGGTGACACTGGTTGGCATGGAATGGACCATATTCTCCAGGTCCGTATTTTCTGGTGACTCTATCTGAGCTGTATTGCTGCATATGTGTCAGCTACAGTTGGTGAGGAGGAAGAACTCAAGAGCCTGGAAAAATACCTGATTCCCAGAGTAGAGCAAGGAGGGAAGGGAGCATGGACCAGAGGGTGGCTGGGCTGTGGGCTGTCCACCTGGTTATTGTCCAAAGGTAATGGCAAATGTTAAAGAAAACATCATTCTGACACCTGTTTTTTGTTTTTGTTTTGTTTTGTTTATGTTTTTTAAATTTGTTTTTAAAGATTTTATTTATTTATTTGACAGAGAGAGAGCACAAGCAAGGGGAGCAGGAGAGGGAGAAGCAGGCTCCCCACTGAGCAGGGAGCCCAATGCGGGGCTTGATCCCAGGAGCTTGGGATCATGACCTGAGCCGAAGGCAGATGCCCAACTGACTGAGCCACCCAGGTGCCCCTTTGTTTTTTGTTTTTAGATTTTATTTATTTGAGAGAGAAAGAGAAAGGAAGAGAGCACCAGAGGGGAGAGGGAGAAGCAGACTCCCCCCTGAGCAGGGAGCCTGGCATGGGGCTCGATCCCAGGACCCTGGGATCATGACCTGAGCCGAAGGCAGATGCTTAACCGACTGAGCCACCCAGGTGCCTCTGACACTTGTTAAATATGGTAGGGAAGACTTTATTCAAGACAACTATAGTCCCCCCTTGGCAGTACGTATACTAAAATTGGAACAATGGAAGATTAGCGTGGTTCCTGTGCAAGGCTGACATACAAATTGGTAGAGCATTCCGTATTTTTAAATAAGTCAGATAAAGACAAATACTGTATCATCTCACTTATATGTGTAATCTAAACGAGCCAAACTCACATAAACAGAGAATACAATGGTGGTTGCCAGGGGCTGGGGCTGGGGCTGGGGAAAATGAGGAAATGTTGGTCAAAGTGTCCAAACTTTCAGCTGTCAGATTAGTAAGTTTTGGGTCATCTAATGTACAGCTTGGTGACTCTAGCTAACAATGCTGTTACAATTACTTAGTTGAAAGTTGCTAAGAGTAAACCTAAAATGTTCTCACCACACATAACAAAATGGCAGTCATGTGAGATGGTGCATGTGGTAACAAATCTTATTGTGGTAATCTTTCACAATATATATGTGTATCAAACCATCATGTTGTACACCTTAAACTTATACAATAAAGTTGGGATTATAACTCAATAAGGTTAAGATTGAAGAATTAAAAAATAATGATGCCACAAAGTGCTATAAAAGAAAGTAAGTCTATCAACCATACCTTAAAAAGAAAAAGACTATTGTAATAGGGGTCGTGATTGATAGCCAAGGAGCAGGGTAAGGGGTAAAATGGAAAACTACTAGGAGAGACATCAAGGGAAGCGGGATTCCTGTTAAACTGACCTAACAGGATTCTTGCTAAAGGCAGCCAAGGACTCAGACATCAAAGACAGAGGATGAAAAACTTGATCAGATATCAAGGGTGGGGGTGCTCCCAATAAACTCACTTAGCAGGATTCTGGCTAAAACTGGGCCAGACACCAAAGTTGGGATCTGGTCTTAAAGAGGGCTCAGAGGAGCCTGACTAAAGTTGGGTCAGAGTCTTTATCAAAAGTTAGCCGCAATCTAGACCTACATGGGGTTGGGCTTTTCAGGTAAGTGGGAAGCCCAGCAATGGGGTATTCAGGCAGGACTTACTAGATGGGTGGCCATTCTGGAGACCCTTCTCCAGATGGATAGCAGAACCCCAGCTGGGATGTAAAAGAAGGCCCCGATTCCAGAGAAGAGGGCTGGCTGGCAAGGAGAAGGGACTGTAGTCACAGGGCTAGAGTTCAAAGAAGGGCTTAAGTCTTGGGGAAGGACTTAGGTATTACAAATATGATAAAGACTGCAGCCTGATAATAAGGACTAAGACTTTCATGACTCGCTGGCAGAGAGACCACAAGCTATGACTTTGGTTACTCCTGCTAATAGTAGCTTTCTTAACTGATTGCAACACAGGGAACTGGGTTGGGGGGGGGGCAATGTGGGAGCTCTGACCACTGGAACTAGGCCACTAGAATCCAGGACATGGGGTGACATTTTTGAGCTTATTTGTGGAGTCTGTCTGACTGTTCAGATTACCTGAGTATTGGAACAGGTCTGAGGCCATGAGCAAAAAGCAGGACTTCAAGAGATACCTCAAGCATCAAACTTTTCTGTGAACTTCCCTTACTCCTTGTCACTCTCCCTGACTTTGTTCTCTCGGGCAGAAGGCCCCCCCCTGTCCCCCCCCCAAAAAAACCCCCAAGCTCAAGCTATAATAGCAAGTTGCAGGGACAGGATTTAGACCCATGATGTGCAGCTTCAGAGTTTGGGCTCTTAATTACCATGATCTTAGTCATTATTCTCTGAAGATGAAAGATTCTGATTTCAAGGTAAGTCACTCACCACCTCTCACACAGCCATAATGATGTCCAAGCAGATATAATCTCACCAGGAAAAGGAGGGTGAGGACTATTTTCCAGATAACAGAGCAAGGACCCATGCCCCAAATGTTTTGCTTATGGATCTAGAATATGAACCAATGACATTATTATCTGAAGAGTCATATCACAGACTGCTACTTTTCTTGTCCATGGGGCTAGAACAGATTGAGGGGGTAGGAGATAGCCAGGGGGTAGAAAAAGGAATCGGGATTGAGTTAAACCAGGGGCTATCGATGTGAGGAGATTAGGATAATCTGTGAGTACATTAAAGCAAAACAGAGGCCAAACACAGGTGGGAGGACATCCAAAGCCAAAGAGAGAAATCATGGAATCAATGGAATAAGGCAAGGACATCATAGGGGAAGAGCAAAAGTGTAGCCAGGCACGTTGGAACTGGATTACTGAGCGAGGAACAATACCCGTGAGGTGGCAGATGGTTCATGAACCCAGGGCTGCAAACACTAGTTGTGGCCGGGTGTTGCTTGTATGTAGAGCCTGGGGTGAGCTGTCAGGATGGGGTCCCTGGCTGCTATACAGTCCCTTTGTCAGTTCCCCCTTGCTGCATGGGATAAAGTAGGCTGCCTCCGGTTTTCATGGTAGAAGGTTGTAACCTGTTGGGGTAGCTTGCTTGAGGGGAGGCATGGAATTCTTGGGCTCACCTCCTCTCTGTGGTCCCTTCATGCAGCTAAATGATAAGAACTGACCCCTGTCCGCTTACATCAAGCATCACAATTCTTGTCACAAACTGCAATGCAGAGAACTATGGAATGGAAGCAAGGGTCTAACAGATGGATATGGGGAAGAATAAGAGTATCACACAGAAGGTATTTGGAGATGGGGTGGGGAATGGGGAACAGGGACTGTGTCTATAGGGTGCGCAGTCTCAAACTCTGAACCAGTATCTGCCCTCCAGGAGTGGTGTGGTTTTGGTGGGAGAAACCAATAATAACAGCAACAATAATACAGGTAATAGGCAACATTTAGAGAATGCTTGTTATGTGCCAGGCACCGAAGTAAGCATTTTATAAGGATTATTATCCTTCACAAGCCTGCAAAATAGATATTTTCCCAATTTTATAGATGATTAAACTGAGGTTCAGGAAAATAAAATGACCCACCCAAGGTCACACAGCTGGTGAGTGTAGGGGAGCTGGGTCTTGGGTTTTGTCTGGCCACAAAGATGTTGTTTTTACCGTGATGATAACACGTTATCCATGTTCTTAATGGAGAGCAATTAGATAAGAACTTGGGAGATACAAATACCAAGCTGAGTCCAGAGACCAGAGAAGGATGTTAGTGGAAAATGGGGCCAAGAATCAGAGATGGGAGCCGTTAAGCTGGGGAGGGTGCCCACTGTTGAGTGGAGAGGCCTTACAGCATCAGCTCACTTCGTCTGCCGTGGTGAGCTTGGCCAGCTTATCCACAGATCAGGCAGAAACTCTGGGTGGTCTTTTGAAGAAAAGGGGGGGGGGTGGGAACTGGGGGGGGACTGGAAACTTGGCTGGAAGCTGGTGAGGGTAGAAATGAGCTCTGCAGTGTCCAGGAACAAGAGGCAGTAGTGACTCGAGCAGTGAGGTTGGTGGCCAAGGATGTGAGTGGAGAGCTAGAGAGGACACTGCCAAGGAAACCAGGAGCAACCACAGCTCTTCCCCAGCCCCACCCCTTTCTCTCAGGATGGAGAACTATCTCCCGCAGATCCCAGTGTTTCCAAAACAGCAACCCATGCATGGATTGTGGAATCAATTTAGACGGTTGCGACTGGCATTTATTAAAAAATAAATAGAAAATAACAGTGCATTGTACATAATAAAGGTAAGTATTGTTTCGATTTCAGGGTGCGCGGACTGAGTTGCAATGCAAAATGTGTTTCTTACTATGGTTAAGATACAAAATAAAAGCCACCGCTCTGGAGTGGCTTTCTTTGGAGATTTTCTGTATCAGCCAACTCTTCCATTAAGTTAGTGAAGGCACTTGTCACTCCGGGCATTCCCCACTGTTGTATGCGAGGACTTGGTAAATCTTCACCCACACTGTAGGATGGGCCACCTGTCTAGATTAGTGAGAAGCTTGAATTAAATTATACTACTTTAAAAGAACTTTAGGTTTATTATTTTCAAATAGAGTAAGTGGAAGCCAGCTAACCAAC